AGATCAAACTCAAAATCAATTAATGCAGTGAAAAGGTTAATAGTGCTTTCTGTGCCCTGTTTAGGAAATCTTTGCCTATCTCTAAGGCAAAATAAATACTTCTGTGTTTTCTTATAGAAGTTTTATTGTTTTATCCTTCATATTTAGGCCGTGAGACAACTAATTAGGAATACCCAACCCACATCCATTTCCCAAGCGATACTTTTAGCACTACCTTTCCTGCCGTTTTCAGTTCAGCATTGCCCTGTGGCTACTGTGGCTAGAGCACCTTATAGCAGCCGTGACAATAAGTAGCTTATGAAATGAGTGGCCACACAGACTTGTCCCAGAAAATCAAACTATGAGACTCTGTGATGTAAGTGGCTCTGCGAAGGAGTAACACGATATTTGCATGTAGAGAAGGTGGTGATTAACTCTGTGTGAGTGGAAATGGCAGTGGTGGCAGAGGAGAATCGAAATGTTTTCACAGAAAAATGTGATAGTGGAACTGGACTTTGAATAGAATCCTGGCAAGTGACTCTGGGCTCTGGAATTACATATCTTGTGGCAGAGCAGGTATCTATCTTGGAAACTCCCTTGCTATTTACCTTTTGCCACCACCACGTTTCTATTGTTCCCAGATATTCTGATTTTTCTTCTGGCTTCATTCTTTTCCAAGTCTCACCAAAGAAACCTGCATTAAAACAGGTCTGAATGAGATTGTGTTCTACCCTACTGTATGTGTCTCCTGTAAAAGCTCGTTTCACTCAATTATTTAGGTGTTAAATGTTTTCTATTCGGAAAACATTTCATCATCCTCCTTTAGATGATCAAACACCACTTTTAAAGGGTCCAGGTTTATTGTTTGCTCACTATTTTCTTTTGATGCAAGGAGGCATTTTAAAATTCCTTTTCTGCTATTATTTTAAAATTATTATCCCTGAAGAAGTTAACAGTTCTGTCATATTCTTGATAGTTCTATGATTAAAAATTAATTCATCACCCTCAAGGCCTAATGTCCAAATTATTATCTTCACATTTCAAGCAGGTTTAATATAACCTCTGTCTGAATGTATTAAGCATTTAGTTGCTGCTAATTGCTAAATATATATATGTCCTGAGGCTGAACATACCCGTGTGTATTTGTTTTCCATTGTTGATTTTATAGTTTGTAATTCACCTATGTAGGATTAAGGACATAAAAATTCTATTGCTTTGGAAATCCTAATAACCACATTAGTGTTTCATCATTAAAACAATTTCCTTTTTCCTTGGATTCCAGAAAATTTAGTTAGGGTTGGTATCTCCTGTCAATGGAAGATGAAGTATACTTGGATTTCTTTGCTGCCCTGGCTTATTCTGCTTTCACCATCAGGACTTTTGCCTAATATCCTGAAATATTGATACAATATGAAGTCATTCATTTATTTTGGTTGTTCAATGGTTTCAATGGCGTTGTGAGCATAATGTGAATGTGACTTCACGGGAAGAAGTATTTTGACTTAATTTTACTCCTTTTCCATAGCAATTCCCAAAAGACACAATCAATGAAGAAGTGATAGAATTTTTGAATCCTTACTTTGAAATGGCAGACTACAACATCGAAACTGCTAAACGCGTGTGTGGGAATGTAGCCGGCCTTTGTTCCTGGACCAAAGCCATGGCTTCCTTCTTTTCTATAAACAGAGAGGTGTTGCCTCTGAAGGTAAGCCTCCTAGGTAGAACTGCATGGTGCATGCCTGCAAAGGGTCACTAGGTCAGCTGGTCTTGTCTTTTCACACAGCACAGGAACTTTCAGCCTTTGGTGTTATTGTACTCAGGTCCATGGGGACAGCAAGTGCTAGAAAGGCCAAGTACAAGATGTTTCTTCTCTGTAATCCTACTCTGGTCAGAATGGTGTGAGCCTTTAAGCATGGACTCTCTACAATGATAGTAAGCCCATGTGGGCTGCTGGGTATTTTTCCTACACAATGCCAACTTGGAAAAAAAGGAAACAGAAAACTATAACACAGAATCCCCTGATAACATCTAAAATCTCATTCCAGAGAATCCTATGAATTAGGAAGGGTCAACACACAGACATTGGTAGCTGATCTTGGTTGCAAGGCATGCCATAGTATTTCTTCTCCTCTTCTGTGTCCCTCAGGAAAGAAACTGAGTATCATGTTTTTGTTATTTAATGTGCTTTGAAAATATGCCTATGTTTCCATTTGAGTAATTGCATGTCTCAGCTTCGTCTGTACCTACTCCGTCCTCCTCCCCGCCCCCCACCCCCCTATCAATGACACTCAGTCTTCAGTCGATGGAGTGATGGAGAGGGAAGTATATTTTTGAAAATAGGATACTGATGTCTCAAAAATCATACCTTATGGCTTGGTTGATTACTGCTTTTGTATGAGTCTGATCTCTCTCAACCATCAACTGAAATTCACTTACATTGATAAACTACCCAGGGAATGTAATAATCATGATAAAAATAATCAAAACTATAGAAAGAAGATAGGGATTGAATTGCAAGTCCCATTTTCTTTCAAATTATTACCATACCAGGGCCGTTTATTCAGTCCTAGAGGCCCTTTGGGGTCCTAGGGCAACCTTAAAAGAAAAGAGACTCATTTGGCTCAGAGACTTTTGGAGCAAATAATTGATGTGCTGTCTGACATTGTGGATCTGGGACCACTGAAGACTCCAGCATGGCTCAAAAATGGCCATTGTGATATTGACTGAATTATAATCACCTTGTCGAATGAAAAGTACAGGTCCTCCTTTAGACATTTTCCAGTGAGCAAGTATACATATAGTCTTTAAGGGAATTACAGTTAAATTCACGATGGATAGCTTTTATTTTGTTGTAGTTATTATTTTTTTTAAATGAGCTGAAATCGGTGGGAAGTAGTGGGCATTCTGAACAAGGCTTATATAAGAACAGTGAAGCCTCTTCCCTGTGTTCGGTGCATTTCAGCCTCCACCCAGACCCAGGACAATCCGGCCCCTACAGGAGGAAGTGAAGAGAGCACTGTCAGGGAGGGGAATCTTGTACTTGATTCCAGAGCCTGCCCTTCTCTTTCTGAGAAGTCTGTTCTGTGGTTGCCCTCCTATATTCTTAGGACCATCCGGCACCTGGGAGCATTCATTTTGTCAGGTGCCTCCTCATGGCAGTTGGAAAAGTAAACAAAGTCACATAGCTCCTACATATTCATTGCATAGGGAGAAGTAGAAGACGGAGTACAAGTTACTGCTGGACAACTCCGCTTAATATATTANGGGGCCCTCTGGCGTCCCAAGCCAGTTCTTAACCAACGTGCCACTCAGCCGGCCCCATATTAGATTCTTATATTTAATATTTTCCCAATGCTTATTTCATAAGGAGTTTAAGAGATAGAACACTTATTATCGGCCACAATGGCTCTATATAACTATTAAATAATTTACTCTATAAGAATCTCGGTACTAGAAATGGAACAGAACTTTTCTGAGAGCTTAGTGAAATTCTTATTGCTCAAGTTCTGTCTTTTAAAGGTCAGTTCCCAGCTAAGAAACCTCTAATTATTCAATCTGTCAGCCCCGGGGCTACCCGCTAGTGTCAGTCCACTGTGACAAGTCAGAGTTGCTTAAGAGAGAGAGAGGCAGATTCTTGACCTACATAACTAATGAGACAAAAAGCACTGCAAATACTGGAGTTTTCCTGATTGAGAATCCCTGGTATCTATATAAGTGCTGACTCTTCTTTTTCTTTCAGAATACACTCTTCTTCTTTCTGACACTAAGTGGTCTGTACAGTTTTAGGGAAGTCACAGCTCTTTATTGGCTCACTAACATTTCTCTCCTCATCATCAGATTGAATTGTAAACATTTGAACTTTTTGGGACATGGGTTTCTTTGAGATTAAATACACATCTAACCCCCATGACCACATCTAACTTAAAAATGCTTGTCTTCCTCTGTTGAAACAATAGCACTTAGAGATGAAAGGTTTGTCTGCACTCTGTCATCGGAGATTGGGTGATAACCTCCTTTCCTCCCTCAGACCATCAAGCCTTCGGACATCGCTACTGTCCGAACACTGGGCCGTCCCCCGCACCTCATCATGAGAATCATGGATTGTGTGCTGCTGCTGTTTCAGAGGAAAGTCAACGCAGTGAAAATTGACCTGGAAAAAAGCTGTACAATTCCTTCCTGGCAGGAGTCTTTAAAACTGATGACTGCAGGGAACTTTTTACAGAATTTACAGGTTGGTAGTTCAATTATGATGGGACCAGGCTTTATTAGAGTATCTGAGTCGTTTAATAGCATACATTTCTAAAAAGAATTTACTTGACATACTTATTTTTGTTTACTAAATTTTTTTTCATCTTTATTGGGGTATAATTGGCAAAAGTTGTATATATTTAAAGTGTACAACTTGATGTTTTGATATATGTCTATATTGTGAAATAATTACCATTATGAAGCTAATTAAAATATCCATCATCTCACAAAGTCACCATTTTCTTTTGTTTTTCTTTTTGTGATGAGAACACTTGAGTCCTATCCTCTTAGCAAATTTCAAGTGTACAATTCAATGTCCATATTGCTGTAATAAGGTCCCCAGAACTTACTCATTATGCATAATTGATGCTTTGTACCCCTTGACTAAAGTCTCCCCATTTATCCCTCCCAGCCTCTGGCAACCACCATTCTACTCTCTGCTTCTATGAGTTTGACTATATTAGATTCCACATGTAAGTGAGATCGTGCAGTATTTATCTTTCTGTGCCTGGCGTAGTTCACTTAGCATAATGCCTTCTAGGTCCATCCATTTTGATATAATGGCAGGATTTCATTCTTTTTTAAGGCTGAGTAATATTCTACACACACATTTTGTTGTATTTTTTCAGAGTAGAATTTTCCCTTTCAAATATAAGACATTATAAGCTTTAGAGCTTTTTCTGACAAATCTTAGGAGTATGAAAGGATCATCAGTGACATATTTCAATCAGAGTTAAAAAAAATCATTGTAAAAAGGTAATACATATATACATATATTATATACACATAAATGTATATTATACATTTCAAATATCAATAGTATTAATTTGCATTATTGTTTTATTATAAGATAGAGTTTACATATAATAAAATGTACATCTTTTAAGTATATAGCTTGATAAATATTTACATATATGTTTACCTGTTAATGAACATTAAGAGCAAGGGTTTTATTTCAAGACCCCAGAAATCTCTCATGTGCCAACCCAATCAGTAACTTCTCCTAAGATAACTGATTATCCTGACCTTTATACTGATAGTTTTGAGTGTTTTGGAATTTACATATATGAAATCATATCATAGGAACGCCTCTGTTTCAACCTCTTTAATTTAACATGTGCGATATTCATTCTTATTGTTGCACAGGACAGTATTTCATTTTTTTTCATTGCTATGATAGCTTTTCAGTATATGAATATGCAGTAGTACATAGTAAATGTTTAACAACTGGTTCTCTGGGGAGAAAAAAGAAAAAAAAAAAGCTCTGATTTGTGGTGTTTGCCCATTTTCATTGTTTGAACATCCCACAGTGGCCAATTTCAAGCTCCAAAAATGATGTTGCTGAATGTGGACTTTGGAAGAGTTATACAGTAGCATGCCATTACATGAGTATAGTACTTCTACCATATAGGTACGATAGATGTAAATGACCTCAAAACATAGATAGTAAAATGTAGTAAAAGAATTATACTACATATTATTTGACTATATGTTAGTTTTGTTTTAAATAAAATTTATTTAATTGTAAGTTACATAATTTTTAATAATGGTTGTGTTTAATAACCAGTTTGCAGAATTCCTGAAAATGTCACCATTGTTTCTCATGAGATTGTATCAGTGTGAACACTGTAATATGCTTCAATTTGTTTGTTCATTGCATTGTTGATGAATTTTTGGATTGTTACTAGTGCTTGGTTATTATAAATAATGCTACTATGAATATTGGTCTACAGGTCATTTGGTGGGCATATTTGCATTTCTGTTGGCTTTATATTCAGGAGTGGGATTTCTGGGTCTTAGGTTATACATTTAATCAGCTGTAGTAGATAGTGCTAGAGAGTTTTCAAAAATAGTTTTATCAGTTTGCACACCCACCAACAGTGTGTAAGTTGCTCCACATCGTCATCATTTTCTGCTTTTAGCTATTCTGATGGGTTTGTAGTAGAGTCTTATTATTGTAGGTTTAATTTGTGTTTTCCTGATGACGAATTTGATGCTGAAAAATTTTTTTATTGGTTTATGAGTCTCTTGGGAGTTCTTTTCTTAAGTGTCTGTTTAGGGCTCTTGTCCATTTAATATTTTCATTTGTAGATTTTTCTTTATATATAAAATGTGAGCAATATATCANGTTGGTCTCTTCTGAACAATGGAAGTTATCACTTTTCCTTCCTCCATGATAGGGCTACAAGCATTTGAAGTCGCTGGTCATTTAGCTGAATATCATTAAGCGTGGTTCCTGCACGATGTGGATTCTAGACCCACTGTTGTTCCTTGTGTCTCGCAGAGTAGTTTTAGCAGGTTCTCTCTTGCCACATGCTGTGTATGGAGCACACACACATGTCTTCAGCCTAGACCTGTACCTTTTTATTCAAGCCCTGTTGTATTTGCTACTTATATATACACTCATTCTTCAAATATGGCCATTACTCTTCATGTTAGTAGACCAGTACTTTGAAAATGTGGCCATGCACCCCAAACTTTAACATTGTTCCCTTGGATTTTCAATCTCAGAATGAATACTGGATTGAAAAAGCTGAAAGAAGCTTCGGAGTCTGTCGCAGCCCTGAGCAAAGAACTGGAAGTGAAAGAAAAGGAGCTACAAGTGGCCAATGATAAAGCCGACATGGTGAGTGGACATTGACACGTGTACCCCCTTCATTCTGACTTCCCAGTTCACACACAATAATGATGTATGCACAATCACTAAGTTATAACTGGGAGAGTATAAATGACTTATGTCCATGAGGATACAATACTCTTAACTCTGTGTAGGAAAACTGTGTAAGTGTAACTGTCTGTATGAAAAGTGTAATCAACAAATCAAAGCAAAATGTGCCTTTTCAGCTGGATCTTTGGTAATTTTTGACGAGGCATTTTTTGTTTCCTATTGAATTAGTTCTTAAAGGAAGTGACAATGAAGGCACAGGCTGCTGAAAAAGTCAAGGCTGAGGTACAGAAGGTGAAGGACAAAGCACAAGCCATTGTAGATGGCATCTCTAAAGATAAAGCCATTGCTGAAGAGAAACTGGAAGCAGCCCAACCAGCTTTAGAGGAAGCGGAAGCAGCCCTGCAGGTAAACCTGTGTGAGAGGATGGATGTCAGGCTTAGGTCCGAGGAGGAGGACTAAGAAAAGATGAATAACAACAGGAAATACTCTATAGCTTCAGACCAAAGCTCTCTCCACAGGAACATCTTCAAGTAATATTTGTGCTTAGAGATGTTACTAGGTCCCTTATAGATTTTGCATGTGCTACCTCACATCTCATGTCCTCACTCATGATTGATGGGCAGTGTCACACCATGGCAACCAGGATTCCTGGGTTCTCATTTCCACTCTGTCACCAAGAGGCTCTATGACATTGGGAAAGTAACATTTCTAAAGTAACATTTCCTCACTCATCCCTTGAGGACATCGGGTGGGTTTGTAAGATACACCCTTTTCTGAGTTCATCGGTGAATTATCCAAATAAAGAACTACTGATCTAACATAGCTCACTAATGTCAGAGCTTGAGCAGGCTTATTTCATGTAGCATAATGTCCTCTAAGGCCACTCATGTCGTCATAAATGGCAGGAGTTCTTTCTTTTTTTAAGGCTGAACTATATACCATGGGTGCCAAAAAAAATGTATACACATTTTAAGAGATGGTCAACGTTGCTCAAGCAGTAGTTCGCCGTAATCAGAAGTGTCTGGATGCTGATGGTAACCACTTTGATCACCTCTGTAATTGGAGAAGTCAAACGTGACTTGTATTTACCTTGTGTTATCGATATATATTGAGTATTACAATTTTAATAGTTTTTTCCTTTCTTAAAATGTATATACATATTTTTGGTGCCCTCTGTATATAAAAAACATTTTCTTTATCCGTTCATCCATTGATAGACATTCATGTTGCTTCCATGTCTTGGCTATTGTGAATAATGCTGCAGTGAACACGAGGGTGCAGATATGTCTTCAAGACCCCATCCTCATCCTCTCCCCACCCTTTTTAGGCATGTTGGCATCATTGAGAGTGTCTGATCAACAGAAAGAAGACAATGATAGTGTAAAGTAATTTCTAAACCTTTATTGAACTTGTGATACCTAATGGCATTATAGGAAGAGAGCATCTGGCATCTTAGATTTTGCTTAAAGACCTACGTTTTCCCAAGACTTAAAAGGCTTACCATCTGTCTTCATATTGTAAAGTATTTTTCAGTACCCTACTAATTCAGTGCTTTCTACCACTAAAATATTCTGCATTATGTAATCAGTGCAGAGATGTGTGGTAACTGGAATAAGGTGATGGGGTGTGAGCGAGAGGTTTTCCACAATTTCTTTAATTAATTGGTTTGGACTCCATCTTATTGCCTTTTTGGGGGCTTTTGAAATCTTAAAATATGTTATCACCCGTGTATACTAAGAAAGTTCTAGGTACATCCAAACTCCAACATTTTGGCATCAGTTTACATAAATCGATACAACAAATTACTATCTCAATGCTAAATTCCTCTTTCTAAAGCTAAAGTGAAATAATCATGTTTAGCTCTTATTATATAACTTTAATTTGACCCTACTTTCTTCATTGGCTGCTATTATCTGTCCTTTCTTTTACAATCATGCATCTCAAATTAAGGTCTATTTGCTATTTCTAGTGTTTTACCACAAATTATTTTTACTTGCAGCTGTCTAGCTTTCACAAATACTACTAGTCTATTGAAACAAACCTCTCAAGCTATGTAGTTACATTCCTCATTATCAAATTCCATGTTTTTTTTTTTATTCTTCTCAATCCTTGGAGAGAAGATCATCAGCTTTGATTAGAAGGTCATTGGATATCTTCTTTTGGCAGGAGGGGTGCAAATGCAAATAAGATGGAAGGTTTTCAAGATCTGGAAGGAATGAATGTACACTATTTGTCCTTGAAATGGGACCATATTAGATTCTTTTTTTTTTTTTNAAAAAAAAAAAAAAGAAAAAAGTCACCGTTACTGATACTCTCTGTTCACATACAAAAAAATGTATTTATTACATGGTAAACACAAGGAAGTTTTCAGGAAGTGGGGTCGTCCTTGAAGATATCCCAGCATGTCTAGTAAAGCACTTCGTATCATGTCTGGCTCTAAGTGAATATTGCAGCTGTTGTGGTTAGTACCTACAAAAAATTTGTCATAGGTAAAAACTGTTCCTATGCTTCCAATGCCCAGATTTAAACTTCCTGGAATTTAAACTGTTCTGTATGGAGGCTGCTTAACTCATATGAGGAAATAGGACTTCTGAGTATAGTAATTTATTGCCTTTCAGTGGATATGGTAAACTGTATTTGTAACCAAGCTGATAAATGGTCTCTATTATTTACATAAATGTAAATACTGCCCTACAATTACTGCACTGAGAACTTAGTTTAATGATCAATTACTGATGGTGAAAAAATACCGTTTTTTAAATTTCTTTGCCCACTATCACCTTATAGATTTATTCACTTGATTCCTTCCCTTTCCTTCCCTTTTTATTGGCCATATTTATGTTTGCAACTCTTATGCACATTATTCACTATTTTAAGTATTTTTTAAGCAAATCCATAGGCTATTTTTTTCTAAGATTCATAAAAATGGTTGTGATAATATTTAACTGCGTTATGCAAAACCCTTTTGCATTCTTCTGGGTTGAGACCAAGTGTCATACTTTTACTCCATGGCACCATTGCAATGGTGCGTGTGCAGCTGACACTATGTGTGTGCTGACTGATTAGCTCTGACTTTGTGGCCTATTCTTATGATAGGAAACGCTGTCTTAGAATTGATACCATGTTTGGCACTGGTGGGACGATAAAGGTCTCCAACAGGAGATTTTTACCCAAACATTTTTAAAGGATACTATAAATTAGAATGGACTGCAAATACCAGCTGCTACATTTAACAACAAGGTGGCCCAGGCATAAAAACATTTAATGGTGAACATTCCACATACCAAGTGCAGTCAGAGCAGAGCCTGGGGCAATTAAGGGAATGACAGGTTCTGACTAAAAAAAAATAAAATAAATGGGATTGTTAAGTATGGGTACCAGGTAGGCACTGGTTTCTGAGTTATTTGTACCACTTTTGTCCTTATATAAACCATAAAACAGGCCAGCTGCTGACCAGAACCTGCAGCTGTTAGAACACAAAGAATGATGATAGGCTTAAAGCCTGTTATAGTTTTGTATATAAAGGGGAAAATAAAATTGTTGATGTCATAGGCCTGGGACCAAAAATGCTGACATATATCTGCCTAGGTAGGACTAAAAAAAATGGTGTGCAGTCCTAAGAAATGTCTAAGCCTTTTCAAAACGGCCAATTAACCTTTACAATGGTAATTCACGTTCCTATTTCAGATGCTGTCATCTTTTTATTCTTTCTAGTGTCTGAACACTTCCTCTCTTCCTATGATATTGACTGCAGTTTGGGAACCAAGAAGGAAGTGGTCCAGTGCATGGGCTCCTTCCAGGATGGGGTAGCTGAGAAGTGTTTTGATTATTTCCAGAGATTTCGACGTTCTACCCATGTGACCCCCAAGTCATACCTCTCCTTTATTCAGGGCTATAAGTTCATATATGGAGAGAAGCATTTGGAAGTGCAAACTCTGGCCAACAGGTAAGTGTGAAGGCCAAATATAAAGTTATTGTAAAGCAGTGGCTCTCACCTGGGGGCAGATTTGCTCCTAGTGAACATTTTTGTTTATTACAACCCGTGTGGTGGGGGAGGGTGGAGAGGTGCTACTGGCATCAAATGAGTAGAGGCGAGGGAAGCTGCTAAACATCCTACAGTGCGCAGGACAGCCAGCCCTCCACAGCAGAGACGTCTCCAGTCCTGAATACCAGTAGTGCTGAGACTGGGAAACCCTTCTCTTAAGCCCATTCAAAGGGTTAGTCCATGGTTTCTAGGGCCTTTAGTCTTGCCCAATAAGAAAAAAATGTTGCTAAGTTTTTTTGTGGCCTACCACTTTGTATAATATTGATAGAAATCGTAGACCTGGAAGGAAGCTGAGAATCCAGACACCTGTCCTCCCCCCTCACGCTCCCTCTCTCCCCACCCCTTTCTGAGTGTCTGGGATAGAGAGTCTTTCTGACACTTGCGTTCANTAACCAGGAGTCACTGTTGAGTTTTTTTAGACTCTGGAATGCTGGCGTTAGGGTTTGTTGCCCATTGCATCACCTTGTGTGTATCCTGTGCAGGCTAACTTGGTGGTGCAGGAGAATCGCCACGTGTTGGCCATGCAGGATCTCCAGAAGGCCCAGGAAGAGCTGGATGCCAAGCAAACAGAGCTGGATGTGGTGCAGGCTGAGTACGAACAGGCCATGAGTGAAAAGCAGGTAACTGTCCTTGGCATGGGAGGGACCATCACACACCTGCACGGCTCTGGTGAAGCTTTCATTCCTTTTCTATTGTCTTGCTCCCAGGGTTTGGTTTTCAGCCGGGGTTCGTATAATGTACACATAACACATTCAGAGCACGTGATCCCTCACTAAGTTCTGGAGCTTGTTTCTAACAGACACGAAGGATGTTTGGTGTGACGTCAGGATGTTCAGCCAAGATAGGAGTCAGTTCTGGAACATTCTGAGTTTCCTTATTAACAGTGATGGTAACAGCATCTTGTGTAGCATTTTTTCTTAATGTTTTTTAAATCATGTCCTCCCATTTATTTAATCTTTGAAACAATCTTCCAAGGTAGGCAGGGTAGATAATTTTATTTTATTCTCATTTTAGAGAAAGGAACTGAGGTGCAGAGAGGACAAGAGAATGGCTCCTGGTCACAGGCAGGGGTCCTAGGGCTGGACTAGGCCTTGGTCTTCTGATGTCTCCTGAGGACTCTCTGCTGGACCAATAAGACTGGCCGCATGGCTGTATCCCCATGACAGTGACCATCCACAGCCTTCTTAACCTACACATATTTTGCAGTGTTAGCACCTTTCAGAATCTAGGTTCATCCGTTTTGCATACACTGGGCAANTTTCTTTATCCATTCATTCATCAATGGACGTTTGTTTTCATGTCATGGCTAGTGTAAATAATGCTGCAGTGAATGTGGGAGTGCAGGCATCTCTTTAAAATAGTGATGTTATTTCCTTTGGCTATGTGCCCAAAGTGGGATTGTTGATCAGATGTAGTTCTATTTTTAATTTTGGGGGGAAACCTGCATACTGTTTTCCATAGTGGCTATATCAATTTACATTCCCACTAATGTGTACATGGGCTCCGTTTTAGCCATGTCCTAACTAATACTTATTATTTTTTTGATAATAGCCATCCTAACAAGTTTGGAGTGATATCTCATTGTGATTTTGACTTGCATTTCCCTTATTAGTAGTGATTTTGAAAACCTTTTTCTATACCTGTTGGCAATTTGTATGTCTTCTTTGCCCATTTTAATCAGGTTATTTGTATTTTTTGCTATTGAGTTGTAGAAGTTATTTATTTTGGACATTAACCCTTTATCATATTTATAGTTTGTGAATATTTTCTCCCATTTCATAAGTTGCCTGTTTATTTGTTAATTGTTTCCTATGCTGGGCAGAAGATTTTTAGTTTGATGTAGTCCCACTTGTCTATTTTTGCTTTTGTTGCCTATGCTTGTGTTGTCATATAAAAAAAAAATCATTGCCAAGACCTGTGTCAAGGAGCTTACTTACCATGTTTTCTCCTAGGAGTTTTATGGTTTCCAATCTTATATTTAAGCCTTTAATCTGTTTTGAGTGAATTTTTATGTATGGTATAGGGTAAAGGTCCAACATCATTCTTTTATATGTGGATACACAGCTTTCCCAGCACCATTTTTTAGAGACTGTCCTTTCCTCATTGTGTACTCTTGGCATCCTTGTTGAAGATCTATTTACCATATATGCGTGGGTTTATTTCCAGACTCTGTATTCTGTTCCATTGGTCTATGTCTGTTTTTAAGGTCAATACCATACTGTTTTGATTACTGTAGATTTGTAACATATTTTGAAATCAGGAAGTGTGATGCTTCCACCTTTAATCTTGCTCAAAATTGCTTTGGCTGTTTGGGACTTTTTTGTGTTTGCACATGAATTTTAGGACTGTTTTTTCTATTTCTGTAAAAAATGCCATTGGAATTTTGATAAGGATTGTATTGGGTCATATGGACATTTAAAAAGTAATAATTCTTCCAACTCATAAACATGTGATGTCTTTCCACATATTTATGTCTACTTTAATTGCTTTCATTAGTGTTTTATAATTTTCAGTGAATATGTCTTTCACCTCCTTAGCTACATTTATTCCTAAGTATTTTATTCTTTTTGATGGTCTTATAAATGGGATTGTTTTTCTTAATTTCTTTTTTGGGTAGTTTTCTTGGGGAGTATTTTCTAATTTAAAGATGCTCAGAAGTTTAATATTAATATTTTGTAGTATCTTAATAACTATAGTTCTTGTGAAAAAAGTGACTTTTATATATATATATATGAATTTAAATCGATTGAGTCTATTGATGAAGCATTTAAAGAAAGCTATACTTTGTTTTATTTTGTAAAATCCTGTCTTTCTCACCATTTAGTAATCTCCATTTTGGCAAATCTCCCTGTTTAGCTTTATATGAAGTTGTTTTGAATTAATTGTTTCTGAATATGTGTATGAGGTTCATTCTGGTGTTCTTGTATTCCTTAATGAAACTCTGTGATTCCAAAGCCACCACTAAATCAATTAACTTCATTTATATTTCTCCAAGGTAAAGATAATTATTAATGTTCTTTTAGATCCCATTTTAAACTAGCACACTGTTGTGTAAGTAGGCCATTCTCACTTGAAAATAAAGTCTCAAGCAAATGAATAGCATATATATGGATATATGTATTTTTTCAAAGAAGGCCATTTTAATTATATAAATCAAATGACTCTCTTTGAAAATTATTACTTCATTTATAGTATAAAGATTTTGGTCTTTGGAGTTCTGCTTTCTCAACTGCTTACAATTAATGGTGTAGCGTAAAGAGAAATGAGGCAACTGCACACAATAACCCCTCAGAAGGTGATACCAACCACAGCACTACCCATGGTTTTTCAGAGAAATTATATTTTTTTATGAAGCTCATTAATCAGTAAATATCTTTGGACTTTGGGCTTCAATTAAAAATGTTTTCTTAGTGCTGTAAAGCCTCTGCCTAGTGTGGTTCCATTTGAATTTCTAAATCAAAGTGACCTGGACTTTGGAGTCCATCATCCTTGGGTTAGAATTCTCAATCTACCACCTATAAGCAAACTTCTCGGAGCCTCATTTCCCTTATCTACAAAATGTGCATAATAATACTCATCACTGAGGGATGCTGTAAGGATAAACTGATAAGGTTTTGTGATTTAGGATCTGTCAAAGTTAGATATACTTGCCCTTTGAATGTGTCAATTAAGAATGTGTGTTTTTGTAAGAGAAAACCAGAGAAATAGTGGCTTAAACAAGTATGGTATTTGCCTGTTTGTTTGTTTGTTTTCCTTCTTTTTCCTGCTACCAAGAAAATTCAGTCCAGGACAGTATCACTGGGGATCTTACTTCTACCTTGCTGTCATCCTTAGGGGCTGTGGATCTTACTCTTACAGGTACAGATGGCTATTGAGTCTTAAGGCATCGTTTTTGTTGGCGCCCCCCCTGAAGCATTGCTTTTTTCTTCAGGACAGATTCTTCCTCAGGGACTTTTGTCTACACATTATTGTCCAGACCTGGGTCACCCCCAGTTGCAGGAGAGTCTGGGGAATCAAAGAGTTTTAGTTGAGAAGATTGCTACCCTGAGCAAAATTGGGATTCTTTTAGTAATGAAGTGAGGGATGGCTTCTGGATAGGCTACTAAGGTACCTTCCTCACCTTGTTACTTCAGTTTTTTTTTTTTTTAAATCCAAATGAAGTGGAAATTGGAGGACACCAAAATTCAGGGAGTGAGCCCAGTGTTATCCCTTCTGTCATACACATACCTCACCTTATTCCCCATCAAGTGACATGAACACACAATACCAGGATATAACCCACTCCAGCCTTAGATATCAACCTGAAGGCAGGCCCCCAAACAGGCATTGCTGCCTTGGTGATTGGATATTGAAGGGTTTTCCATGGCCTCTTTTCTGAATTTCAGTAGCCTGGGGTTACCCTAAGAGGAAGTGATCTTACCATTTATATATCCTTTCCTGCATCAGAGATCATGGGTCTATGGAAAAATATACTTTGAATCCATCCCATGTTTATTCCTTTTGACTTTTTGGAGTGACAAAAAGATAACTTGCTGCATAAAGAAAAAAGTCACCGTGGGCCTGCTGAGTGGCG